ACTTTTGATTTTATTTTTAGTCTACCGTCTAAGTTCTTCCCATTTCTACTATACTTTTCGTTCTAATAATAATTTACAGTCTTGGTTGATCAAATATTTAATAACTTAATGAACAGGACATATGCTCTTATCACAAAGAAACAGCCTTCCAAGGTGGTTGTCTTCTGAAAAGAATTAATTACTGATATTTCGCCCATCATTTTAACTGATAACGCATAAAGCGGCCGCTGACCGCGTAAGAGGATATTTACAAAAGAATTAAGTGCGTCGATTGATCATATCTTCAAGACATAGTTACAAATATATCAAAGACGTCGTCTCTGTATGCTTTCCAACAGAACATCACCACAAAAATATTCCCTAGGACCGTCTGTATATCTCTTCTAAATATAATTAAATTTGACTGTTTACTTCAATCTGGTTATTTAGAGTAAAAAAGAAAAAGATCTGCTACGTTATTAATCAGAAATGAAATATATGCAAGTACTGATAGTTATTTATGATTTAAAAGATACAGTACATATGTTATATAATGTAAATAATAATTGTCTCAATATTTAAATAAACCACTTTTAATTACATGAAATTTTTTCTCGTCCGCCTAAACATTCGTTTCTAGTGTTTGCAAAGATTTTTATTCAGAATAAATATTATAAATCAAAATGCTTTCTTTTGTTTTGTGAAAACGAATTAATGTTGTGATTTCAGGAAGGTAAGACAGTTTTTAATTGTAAGAGATTTACCAAGTAAAAGCCAATATTTCCACCTAATTTACGCACTTTTATTTTAATAATAAACCAATATAATCATTAAATTTGCCAATATAATTTCACTAATTTTGATTATTTTTTCGTTTCATCTACAGAATGCCGTTTGGTATTTTCGACTATTAATGTTTGAAAGCCTGTGACTGTTTGAGAAAATATTTTCGTTGATTTTCTTGTTTAATGTTGTCTAAAATATTAAATGTGCATAGCTAAATGCACAGAAGATTTATTTGTTTTATTAATGAAAATTGACCAGAAAAATTATAACGGTTAGAATGGGAAAAAATATCATGAAAATAATTCCTCTAGAACAACTGCAGTGTTCTGAAAATTTCAACGAGCAAATCAAGAATTAGTTCCCAAGATAATGCTGACAAAGCTCGCTTACCAACCATATCGCCTGATGTTAATCTCAGGATAAGGTAGGTAATTGTTAAGGGTACATTTTGTAGGGGTGGTTTATCAGATGGAAAAGAAAAATGAATAGAGTCTTGATACCGATTGATAAGTATATTTGTACTCAGTAGGACTAATCTATCCAAGCATTTTGACAATATTATTTCTGTTTTAAGAAAATAGATTCATAATATGCATAAAATATACCTACAATATGTTTTTCTCTTTTAAGTATTATATAGAAGAGGTATTCATGAATTAGTAGATACATAAATGACCCACCTTGCGCCTTGTTTGATGGATGTCAGTTATCAGTTATCTCCTGTTAATTACCCTCACCAATTTCTCCACTGAACTCACACTCTTTGGGTCATGTTACTGGGCCTAACCAACGCCTTTATCCACTGTGCCATGTGTACTTGAGGACATCTGGGTATGAATTTATGGGTATTAAAAACCTAATGTCTTCAGCAACCATTTTACCAGGGTATAAAGGGTTCAGTTTGAAATTCCAACCACCTGAAGAAGGCCGGAGCGTACAACGGCCGTAAGGTTGTGATAAATATGGCGACAAAGTTGAGGACGATAGTCCGAATAATGTAAATAATGGACATAATACCTCATCTCATAAATATAGACAGACTCTGGAGTCTATCTAATATGCAAAATCCACATTCTCTGAAAACCATGATACAAAAAATTGATTTATAGCAAGTTTTGAACATTCATCTGCGGGAAATTGAAGTGTGTGTATGTGTTTGAGTGCGTGCGTACGTGCATGTGTGTGTGTTTGTAAATGTGTGTGTGTGTGTGTGTGTGTGTGTGTGTGTGTGTGTGTGTGTGTGTGTGTGTGTGTGTGTGTGTGTGTGTGTGTGTGCTGTACAACGAAAAGAAGGTAATCGAAATTATTGTTGTGGATTCCGGGATGAAAGTGAACGTAATTGAACAATAGATTGTGTGGATACAGGAGATACGGTTATTTCCGTATCTTCTGTATCCACACAATGTAAATGTGCCTTGGTGGACACATTCTCTAACAGAGGTCTTCTGATGAGTGGTCTTTAGAATATCAATATTGGTCTGATAGATCCCAGAACTTTCTTGAGCATTCTTCCTCTCCAAAAACATGAATGAAAAGTGAAGGTAAGCAGTAGTAGCATCAACCGGAAATGAAATTTGCTTGTCGAATATTCAGTCTCCTCTGAATGAGAAACAGATATACGACCCCTGCCAACACAGTAATTTCCTAAAAGAAAATAAGAAATGGTAAGTTAAACGATCTCAGAAAATTGCCCAAAATTGTATTTAAATATATCCAAGGACATGTGGATTTATTGGTTATCTAATACATGGGGAAACGCCCAAAGGTATAAACGAAATAAGCCAACATTTACATTTGGATGAATAGCGTATAAAATTTGATAGTAACGAATCGAAGAAACATTTACACCAATAATAAGTAATTACTGTGACACTATTCGAAAGATGCTAGTAAATTGAAATAACACAAAATTCCGATAGACTGAAGATATACCGATGACTGTTTGAAGGAAAATAAAAGAAATAGATATTTGTTTTTGATTGAGAAAAATATAACAGACCGAAAATCACTAAATCCCGATAGACTGAAGACACACCTATCACCAGACGAATGAAAATAAGAAGAAAGGTTATTTTCTATTGGAAAAAAATTAAAAGAAGCTAATTAAATTTCTCATCTACTGGAGAGGTAAAACAAATAGAGTATCTGGTTACGATTAGAACTGAGTCTACGTGTCGAGTTATTCTAGACGTCCACAGACCTCCCGGAAAGAAATAGATAAGATTTTTTACAACCATTGTATGATAACAAGGAAGATGGACATCTGGTTGTGATTTCTTTCGATTGATAAAGATTAACTTTTAGAAGCAGACAGGTTTCCAACAGAAAAATTGATAAGAGAATGATAATTAAATTTTTCAACTGCCGAAACGCGATAATACTTCTCGAAATCAAGGATTAGTTTCCTTTTGGCAATTTTCTAACCAAATAGTTTATGAAGGGATAAAAATGACAGACCCTAGGTGTTAAAATGATCACACAAAATCACACGATGAAAAATGTTTTGAACGATAATTAAATTTAATCGTTGAGCTAGACCACGCCTACCCTTTACGGTACGGGTTTGGTAAGGTGACCAAAGAGAAGAGGGTGGAGTTAGAATTTCCTGGAAGGTGGTGGACTTTCCAAACCCATTTGGCAAAGATGGCGAGCGGCGCTAACACAAATTAGGACGGATACGGGTTTCATCAGATGACAAAAAGAAGGAGAAGGTCCAGGTAGAATTCGCAGGAGGGAGGTGAGACTACCCCATTTGCAGCGATAGGCCTGGTTGTTTGGGGAACGCGAGCATTCCCAAACCACATCATACCACACGCCATCACTTGCGCAGCAGTCATTAAAAACAGAACGCCGAGACACTGAGACAGAGAGGGAAACAGAGGCGGCGGAGACGCTGCGGACATAGTACGGCAGAGAGACTGCAGAAATATCAAAGCGTCAACGCTTCGCCTGATCTCATCTGACTTGCTGCCCTGAAGTGAAAGTCTACGACATAAAGCCTGGTTCCAAAAGTCGCGTTCCAAAATCATAACAACAGTGTATGACGATAATCGGTAAGAGTCGATTGTTATTGCATGGAGAGTATAGCCTGGTTAAGCCATCAATGACTGTACCATCAACTTTGTATCATGAAAGTGTATGTAAATACTTATTTTTTAACCAAATCTATTTTTAATCTGACCGGAAAAGTCCAAGTCATCGATTCCAGTCGACCATCCGGACCAAATGAGTCTTGCGATCACTTAATCACATCGACGGTTGAGCAAGACTTGGGCCGAAGCGATCAAGTCTATGATTAGCTGAGAGGATCGAACAGGAATACAGAGCGGCCGGGGTCGTCGTCATATTACTAAAAAGGTCAGACAGGCATCGCAATCATATATATATTGATGCATTGATGCTCACACCATGTTCCTTTGCTACTGAATTTTGATTATATTCGTGATTTTGATATTTGAGGAAATAATCAATATATTACGCAGGGACAATTTTGAAACTAAATTCCTGATACGTGTTCATTTACGTGGAGAAATATACAACCGATGAATATTCAAATACCACACACACTTTTCTTTGCCCTCATCCAGTTCTTGGTTCTAAATTGACCTTCATCCAGTTCTTAGGTCTTAAATTGAAAGCTAGCTATATTTTAGATATGTGTCGTGCAATACTAAATCATATATTCTTCGTAGATGATATAAAATGTTATGGTAAAACTGAAATAAAGTTAGATAGTCTTCTATATACTGTAGAATTGTTTAGGAATGACATAGAGAATGGTATGCGGAACCACTTACTGTATTGTTATTGATTCTGAAGAAAGTAAAGAAATCGAGAAGTGTACGTAACTGACATTTGAATGATGAGACAATGAGGAAAATCGATCTAGATTAAGGTTATAAATATCTTTAGGTACTGGAAGTTGATTGTGTTACATATGGAATCATGAAAGAAAGAATAAAATTGAAGATTCGTGGAAATTGTGGAAGATAAAATGAAAAGTAAATGGAAGCAACACCATCTTTATAATTATTTCCTGAACACAGCGTACATTGTTACTTACAGCAGATAGGTAATGAAATGGACAAATATAAGTTTACTAGTTTGGACTGAAAGATGAGAAAGCTGTTAACCTTACAGAATACAAGGAAGCCTCAAGTCGATTTCGTCAGGAGAAAGAATAGTGAGAAGAAGTTAATTAGTATTGAATGTTGTGTCAAAATGGAATTGAAAAATTTAAGCATATATTTCACTGACAATGAGAAAATCGTAGATTTCAAAGAACCAACAGAAGATTTAGAAAACAGAATCGCAAACACTAAAAAACGTTACAGCCAAAATTATTAAAATATATATTTTTATATGCATCGAAGAAGCATTTGAGCACTTTCCTCAATGGTTCTGATGCCATTCCTAAATAATTCCACAGTATTTAGAAGACTATTGTTGTGAGACCGTAACATACCTACAACATGGACTCTTCCAGGACTATATAAAGTATGCGATATAATACTCTAAGAGAAGATGAGGAAATATATATATATATATATATATATATATATATATATATAGAGAGAGAGAGAGAGAGAGAGAGAGAGAGAAAGTATTCTAATACCGTAGTATCAGACGCGTACGACTACCAATATTGGACGCTAGCACATAGTAAACTCCGGTTACACTTACACTATCTTTGTAACCTTTTTGTTTAATATATCTTTCTTACCTCTAATCCGTGTTCCATGTTTTTCCTTCCGTGGTCCCAACTTTGGGCCCACATCAACTATCCAACTTTATTTCGTTTTTACCATATAGAAAGTTTCATCTTATATCTAATATATATATATATATATATATATATATATATATATATATATATATATATATATATATATATATATATATAGAAAACATTAAAGTAATGTCCTTATTGTCCTATGAAGGAGTTGAAACATGTATTTTCAGAATATCCATGGTTAGAATAGAGGCTTATTAAAAGTAGAAACTTGATACTGTGGCTGCATTTTGGCTTAAACAAATTGTTAAAATTTGGATTTGACTCTTCAAATACATGGTGTAATCGTAACCCGGAGTTAGTCAGCGAAGCTGAAAAATGAAAGTTTCAATCAGAGAGAATCATTTAATATTCGCCCCTGGATAACGTTGATCTCAGCACAGAAGTCAAATGTGATTGACGTCATGACATGGCTTGTCTGTTTCAGTAATCGAAAAAGAAAGAAAGGAAATTGAGAACTATATAGGTTAATTTATGAATTAAAGGGAATGTATGATTCCCGAAATGTGTGGATTGTTCCGATTGTAATAGGAACATGGCTATTGTAATAGGAACATAGAGGAGACGTGACAGAGCAGTTTGCATATTGTTGGAAAGCATTTTTATTTACCAGTGTTATTGTATGTGTTATAAAGACATGTTTATTTGTTACATCATGAACAATCATAAGACTAATGAATGCTTAAACCTGCTGGATAAAGTTTAATATCCAGTAATTTTAGAATCAAATAATAAGTCATTAAAATTCAAACTACCGAAATATAAACTCTAACGCTGGCACAGTGCATAAAGTCGTTCGTTAGATCCAGTGTCAGTGTGTGAGTTTAATACCCGCTTAAGGCAGTGTAGAACTTTCAGAGGGAAATCAACAGGAGATAATTGATAACTGACATACATTAAACATGGCACGTGGAACTAGAACAGTCTACCCCAGTGAGCGAATTAAAGGTTTAAGTTCGACATTCCAACCGTCTGAAGAAGGCCGGAGCATACAATGGCCGAAACGTTGTAATAAATATGGCGACAAAGATGAGGACAATTAGTCCGAATAATGTAAATAATGTGATTAATACCTCATCTCAAAAATATAGAATGATACTGAAATATAAATTAATAATAATAATAATAATAATAATAACAACAATAAACAAAAACAAAATTATAGACATATATTTCGATATGTTTCAGTACTTAGGACGAGATTTAAGAAAAGAAATTAGAGTAGTTCCTGGGGTACGGTCACAGTAATTACTAGAATTTTTGGAAATCTGTCAGGCAGATATTAATGGTAACCTAAAATCAAAGTTTAGCAAAACCTGGAACAACCTTAAAACTTCATCATCGTCTCACCAATGATGGTTCCATTGTCATGAAAAATGGCAGACAATGGAGGCGTTATAAATAAGGAAAATTAAATTTCGCATGATGAAAGTTTAAGGAACAAATATTTTATGAAGAAATAGAAATAGACCCGAACACTTATTAGAGAAAAAGCTAAACATGATAATTTCTGAAGTGAAAGGAAGCAGTTTTATCAATTAAACTGATAAAAGTATTTTGGCTTCAAATTTTGATGATACGTAGGTACGGTGGAAAAGCTGCTAAAATTTCTACAAATTTGTGGTAGGTTTGCAAACACTTTTCGATTATATGCAAAATTTACAGCCAGTTTCTCTAAAGGAGTATTGAAATTTAGATACTAGAGTAAAGTTTTAAAGTTATCATCAAATAGCCTAAGTATTTTGCAACCCTAGCTAATCTTATATAACTATACCCCCGTTCTATTCATCCATATCGTACGGGAAATTCAAACTCGAAGCGTCGCTTTTACGAATAAGGCGAATTTCAACGAATAAAATATTGAGACTGAAAAATGATTGCCAATGAAATAGCTAACAGTGAAGATTACCATAATTTTACACAAGCTAAGAATACCGAAAAAAGCAATTGAAATTCTGACAGTATTTCATTAGTCATCAAATGGTACTGAAATGTTTCTGGAATTTAGAAAATATTACACGGCACCTATGAACATATTTCGCAAAAATATCCACGTCTTAAAGTGATTTTCCTGAAACGTCTATCGTTCCTTTCGAAACCAATAAAAAGCATCAGACAAATATTAACAAATGTAAGCGTCCGCACTGGAAAAACCATTGGAGTTTCGGTTGACTCTACTCCCGAAAAGACTCAAAGATGCTGGAAAATCTGTGCGTTGTGCAACATTTGGAGTCAAGTTAATTCTATAACAAATTCAAAGAGGAACATCACGATTTCTACAGAGGGTAGCAATTTTACTGATTCCCATTTAATATATGTGTCCTCGAATGTACCAAATATGAAATGATTTAGGTAGGTTATACCACGGATAAATTAAATAAAACATCCAATCGGCACAGGTAATTATGCCAGATACAACAATGTGATATCAACGGAGCTTGCAGAACATTTTATTACAAACTAATTTACATTTGAGAAGTCTCTTAATGTGACAATACTTAAACAAATATTCAGAATAAATCAAACTTGCAACATTTTTACTGACATCCGCAGCCAATTTTACTGTAGCTCTTCACTAGGGAAACAACAAACACAACACAGTTTTCGGTCTTGTGATTCTCCAAGAAACGCCAAACCACGTTATAGATCTGTGCCACGATGCTTTCTCCGTCCTAGTAAGCTTCTTGGAAGAATTTATTGTACTCTATGCTCAGGATTTTTGGCCTAACGACGATAGCAGCTTTGATTTTTGCCGCAAACAGCTTCGGAAAGAAGTCTTTGAAGGTATTTGAAATGTACACACTCCTTATGTAACTACTGTTAAAACAGAGGCAAAAGCGAGATAAGAAGATATGAGTTAATATCTTTCCCTAGAGTATTTGTGCAAAGTAAAGAACTAAGTAGATATTTGAACTACAGACGCTGAACGCTCTTTGCGTATTCTTAACCGATAAACTAGCTGAATAAAACTGACAGAGAAGTAAAACAGTGGACTGCGATACGATTGATGTATTAACTTACTATAAAAGTATTGTCTTTTGAGCGGCTGAGGGAATATCTTTGGTAACCATTTATTCTTTTAGCTCTTGTTCTGGGGATAACTGATATTGACTTAAAACAAATATTAGATAGTAAGGAAAGAACTGAAACCAATTTTTCTCAACGATTAATAATATATTACACCGATATGTTTCGGTACACAACGCTCGTAAATTTTCTGTGCCAACGATATTTTCAAAATTCTTCCGCAGAATAATTTAATATATTTACTAACTAGTTCATGAAGAAGCAAGAAATCGAGAAGTAAACTCTGAATACGAAAGTTTTTCTGCATTCTTGAAGATAAGAAATTAACATCATAATACCTGTCTTATTCGGATTAGTACCATCACCTGGGGAGATATTGTCAGTGAATTGTAGCAGTTGTACTACTATGGCTACATTATAACCTAGGAATTTCATTTCCTTTCCTTATATATATATATATATATATATATATATATCCATTTCCCTTGTTTTTAATATCTTATGATTCATTCTTTTACAAAACTAT